AGACAACCAAATTAATTTACTTTTGTGTTTTAACATCATTTTTTAACTTTGTTTTGGTCAATTTGATCGTCCACACCGATAGACAGTATTCAGAAAGAGAGAGAGAGAAAAGGGGAGGAGTAGAACTTGCAAGAACTTCCGGGCGGGTGAGAATAGCCACTTTCATATGATAAAATTCCTTTCGGACACGGGTCCGGGAAAAACGAAGTGTCTTCGTTCTATAGATCTAACGTTCAATGCTTCCAATTATCCGCCATTTTTTGGTTTCCCCCACACTTTATCTGCCTCTCCGATGCCCACCTCCTCATTGATACTCCCCCTCCCCCCATGTTTCCGACTTTTCTGTTATAAAAAAAGGTAAAATTGAAGATTGGCAGACCACCTGGCACCTGCATATTATGAGCTGTGTAAAAAAAAAAGACCGATTCATTCAAATACACAAGCACAAGCCTGTGTCATCTCGATTGTTTACCAAGAAAAAGTTGTGTTGCTGTGTAGAGCTGAGCATACGAGCAATTGCCAAAACGTGAGACTCAGTGGTGCAAAATTTATTTTCTTACCAATTTGACTCTCTTTTCTGTCAGTCACAGATTGACATTTAGTGCTCATGCCTAGAGTATCAGAGCAAGGAAATGTACGGTTTTGGAGATATAGGTCTATTGGTTTGGCAACCACTGTATTTCTTGTATGTAACAATGATGACAAGAACAGATAAGCAGCAAGGCAAATTATGGACTTTAAATTCCATTTGTTTAGTAAACAAAGACTTTGTACACTATGAACTCCATTCATAATGGTAATATAATGACAAGCTTTGTAACAATGACGCAGTGCACAGAACATGTCATCATTGTTATGTACAAGAAAGGATACACATTGGACAATATCATTGACAACACATCACAATAGTGAAAGGCTGTACAAATACAGTTATCAAAGCCTCAGTACCAGAAAAACACATGTGTAAAACAATTTTTAAACTAATATGAGGCAAAAGCACAAAATCAATTGAGCTGACCTGTACATAACAGTGATGACAAACATGACTTGTACATAACAATGATGACACAATGTACAGGAAAAGACGAAAGTCTTGCCTCCCGAGAGAAAAGCGCACTTTAAGAATTTAAAAAAAAAGGGAGAGGTTTCTTTTGCTTTGAAACAGATATCAGGTCATATCAAAGACAGTGGACGATCACAATTATGTTGCTAATTATGACAAACAGTACTCGTACATAACAGTGATGACAAAACATACTGGGAAAAGGTAAAATCATGCGTACAAAGAACAAATTTGCACCAAGAGATACACAGATCAATAAAGGCGTATTTTGCTTCTAAATTAATCTTGCATATGTATGAAATACGAAGTGGCTAGCCGTACTTAAGTACGGCTAGACTGAGAGTCTAGCCGTACTTAAGTACGGCTAGACTGCCAGTCTAGCCGTGCTTAGATCTAGGTTTGGCCCAATCGACTCAATCCTGTTAAGTACACAGGTCTCATTAGATCTAGATCTAGTAATTATTCAGGTTCAAATACATGCAAGTCAGTAAGGCACCTTTTGGTTTTGTCTGAAATACAAATACTTTAGGCATTGCAAACTAAAATTTTCATTTACAATTCAGCCATCAATATTAAGTACGGCTAGACTGACAGTCTAGCCGTCCTTAAGTACGGCTAGCCTGGCTGTCTACCCGTACTTAAGTACGGCTAGACAAGAAGTCTAGCCGTACTTAAGTACGGCTAGACTGCCAGCCTAGCCGTACTTATCTTAGGCCCTATTTACATTAGAAAACAGGAGGTTTAAAATACATGCACTGTCATTAAGGAACCTGGTTTTGTCTCAAATACAAATACTTTAGGTACTGCACACTAAAAATGTATATTTACAATTCAGTAGGCCTATTTTTTGTAAATGGTCAGTCTAGCCATCATATTAAGAATATGTACGGCTAGCCTCTTCCTATGAAATATATGTTGAAAACTGCTTGATATTAGCAATGCTGACAAATATTACTTGTACATAACAATGTAGCAATGCCAATCGGGCTTTCCCGCGAGGCGAAAATTTGGTCCCCGTTTACGGGCGATTTTGCTGACCCAGCCGAAGCGTAGGTGACTAACTTTGTCAACCTCGGTCTGTTCTATTTCCGAACCAATCAGAATGAAACTTGGCAACCAATCAGAAAATAGGGCAAACTAATGATATGTGGACGTTGAAATTCGTACACATAAATTAACCTATACTTTTGGTGTCGGGAACACTTTCGTATCGTGTACACCGAAAACTATAAGGAGTTTGAATTTCAACGCCGAGATGGTAATAGATCTATCTATCCTCTATAGTGTGCTCAGATTTGAACGTTCTGTGTCAAGTAGTTGTTTAGACCCGATCATAAATGCACGACTACCCCCCTATCCAAAGCGGCTTCGCACGGAGACCGGCCATTTTCCCCTCACTCTCGTGGCAAATGTATGTGACCTACAAATCCCCGCATGACTATTCCGGGCCCGTTCATTGGTCACTTGAAATAGGGCAATGGCGGGCGCGCGCATCCGCTTGTTTTTCTCTCTATTCCCCTGTAACATCGCTATGGGGGTATTCCGAGGCAAGGTTATCTCGCCTCGGGGTGTTCGCGTCTCAACGGGGAAAAAGAATTTTTAATTGTACGGCATGCTAGATTGAATTAACTTATCTTTTAAGGTTGGCATGGTCTAAAGAAACAGATTTACAGATTTGGTTTGGGAATAGAGCAGACCGAGGTTGACAAAGTTAGTCACCTACGCTTCGGCCGGGTCAGCAAAATCGCCCGTAAACGGGGACCAAATTTTCGCCTCGCAGGAAAGCCCGAAGTTCTTTGGTCCCCAGGTATGGAACGAAATCCCATATAAAATAAGATCTGCCCCAACAATTTCCATTTTCAAAAATCAGCTGAAGCATTTTTTATTCACAAAAACATACCTGTCATAATGATGTACTGTGATATATATGCATGTGTATGCCAGACTGTGAGACTGAAGAAATAGCGAGTGAGAATGAGAGAGAGAAAAAGAGATAGATAGAGAGAGAAAAAGAGAGAGATAGAGAGAGAAAAGAGAGAGATAGCGAGAGAGGGAGAGAGAAAGAGAGATAGAGGGAGAGGGAGAGAGAGAGAGACAGAGAGAGAGAGAGAGAGAGAGCGGAAATGTTTTTCTATCTGTATAGAATTAATGTTTTAATGAATGTTTCTAGTTACTCACGTTTCAACTGTATTTTGACTGTTCGTGAAATTATATGTATTGTATATTTTTAGTGAACACATTTTCAACCTCACTGCGAGACTGTTTTTCTGGTATAAAATTTTACACATATGCATTTATATTATATGTATAATACTTTGTTTTACGTACACATTTGTGTCGATTAATTTTTAAGATGTGATGTCTTTTTCATTGTAATGCGCATTGAGCATCTTTTAGGAAATGGAAATGCGCAGTATAAATGCTATTTATTATTATTATTATTATTAAAGTCATCATAAAAAGAGTTGCAATTATTTAGTCACGCTGCCGACATATATTCTTAAAGATCCCATGTTGTGATACGATGCTATAAATAAAATGGACTCATCCCGACACCACTTTTTAGCAAAATCGTAATATGTACACCACCATTTTAATTATAACAAAATAACTTGGAAGTTGGTAGTAAATCTGACTGCAGAAATGATTTCTACACTCAAAAACACATCGGGTATCCAAGTTTCTCTCGAACACTCTGATTAGTTACCGAGATATCGTCGATTTTCTTACAGAATCTGCTACTACGTGGTCCACTTTTTAGGAGTATTTTCCTATATGTGGATCATCCATATTTTGCCGACCTTTACAACCCCATAACTTTTTTTTATTTATGAACCGATTCTCAAAATTCAAGAAGCATAATTCTTAGAATTGAAAATTCTTTCTTAGGTACCAAAAAAAAAGGGGACAAAAGTGAAAATTTAAATTTTCATTGGCATTGCTAAACAATGATGACACAATGTATTGGAAAAAGGTATATCATACCAACAAAGGACAAATGTGTATTTTTGAGTAAGACAGATAAATAAGGACATGTTTATTTGTTTGAGTAAAGAGAGCACACATTACTTTAAAAATGTTTGCTCTTAGGACAATGCAATTTCTAGCTTGCAAAGAAACGAATGCGATAATAATTGAAAATGACCGAATGTCAAAATACTGCCCGAATCCATGAGAAAACAAAAAAAATGTGACTGAACACGTAAATAAATCGGGCATCACTTTTGCACCCAGTAAGGGCCTCAAATATGAGAACAAGCTGAAACAGGTCATTCCTGGGGTCATCCAATCACAGGGCTTCCTGTAGCTGGTTTCGGTTTGTCTCTAAGGCAAGGCAGAGATAGGAGATATAAAGCTTTAAAGTCGACGTGCCTGTTTTCGTCCTAATTTTGACCGAACCGGTAATTTTACTCTAGAGGCAAAGTCAGTCCGCTTGTCCGGTATTCTTCAATCTTACGGATTCTAGAATCTAGATCTAATCTAGGTTCTAGATCTAGATTCTAGACATTTAATCGACATTTTTAACAAACAAAGACAATGCTATAAATACTTATAAAGTATTCATTCAGGGTGGTGCTCAAGACAAGTCTAGATCTAGAAACAATTAAAATTGGCCACCACTATTTCTCTGAACGTTCAGGAAAATAAAGCTGAGCAGTAGATTCTAGATCTATTTCTCCGAACGTTCGGGAAAATAAAGCTGGGCACTCCGAATGTTCGGGAAAATAAAGCTGGGCACTATTTCTCCGAACGTTCGGGAAAATACAGCTGGGCACTATTTCTCTGAACACTTTGAAATCACATCCTTTCCCGCAAATTTCGGATATATATATAGTTTATATATATATATTTAGATCTACATCTAGATCTTTAATTATATTAAAGTATAGGCCCTCCAAAGATTGTTCGTATACACAATTATAAGGTTCAATCGGTCAAAAAAATGTCCACAGTAAATATTTATATATAAAGAAATGCTACAGTTCCAAACAGTTTTTCGCTACAGATTATGACGTGTTTCCTATGAAGGGTGCTTCTCTTAAACTTAATGTGTTGTGTTCACTCGTGTCGTGCTGTCTAGATCTCTAGATCTATGGAGGGTTATTGATAACGACATATATATAGAACTAGCATCTCTTCGTTTGTCGCGGCAGCGACCAATCAATTGTGGCTCGATTTTTTGGCAAACCTCTTTACTTTTGAAAGAAAGTTCACTTAGCTTCACTTCGTCTCTTTCTCACTTGTTGTCACCACGTTGATTTGTTGATTACGTTACAGTTATATATGATTTATATTGCTGTTCCTCTTTTATTTTTCCCTCTTTGTGGTGTTTTATTTTGTTGGTGTAATTGTTTTTTCTTGTTATTGTTCTGATATGGTTTTTTTCTATAATTTTGTTGTTGTTGGGGAAAAGGTGGGGGGGGGGGGGGGGGGATGTTGTAAAGTGTAACGTCATTTAATTTGATGTTCCTACCTTCATTAAATTCTAAATATAGATTTAAATAAGTTATGTTAGACTTTTCAACTTGCACACTGAAGTCATTATTGTTGTGATTCTTATATATTGAAGGAAATTGCCTCTGTGTTCCTACTGGGATGTATTCCACACTCCCTGGGGTGGCCCTAATAAGACAGGTTAGAGTGGCCCCCTTCCTATATGGTGTAAGAAATGTCAACAGAGGATTGAAATATTTGCTTTAAAAAAGAGACTCATGTTGATGGTGTTATGCTCAAGCCTTGTGACAGATTTCTTAGATCAGTGCTACCAGTTTTCAAGTTTTCAGCCAAATGGTGGATTTCAATGGCCATTTTAAAATTTCCGACAAACCTCATCTGACTGCCAATCCGATGCCCATGACTCATTCATGGATGGTTTCACTCCCCCTCCCCCCCACGTATGTTTCCGACTTTCTCTGTTATAAAAAACTACAACTCCAGATCAGGCCTATGTTGCGTTGCCTTTCGTGAAACCATTCTATATATAAAGATATATTAAGCTTAATAATAATGATAATAATAAGAGAATTTGTTTCCCGCCTTTCCCCTCAACATGGGCCCAAGGCGCATTCATACTAACACCATACAAATTCATCATGTGCGCACTTTTTGACCGCAACATTCTTTCAGACAAAAAAAGACCCCCCCAAAAAATGTACCTGATATTGTTGGAAGTTCTGGCAGCGAATGAACTGCGTGTCTGCATTCGACGTCATACTATTATTATTTTATGAGCATGGGATCGAATCGCGGTCCCGTAAGGATTTCCCCCACTACCCTAACTGACTAACAATTTTTCCTCATAATTATTTGTTTTGACTTCAAAGATTTCCTCTCACGGCATAATTCTATTCAAATAAGATTGAGAGTGTGACTCAGGTCAATGTAGAATATCTAGGTGAGTTTGGATAACATAATTAGTTGTTTTCTAGTTTTTTATGTTGTGATGAATCATGCACATTCTGGTGTTGTCCCCATGAGGAGCTTTTACCCACAAAGTATACTTTTCCTTTAACCAATTTGTGCCTGGTTAAAGTTAAATAGTGGCTTTACTTGGTGTGAGAATCTCATTCTTTTTTTTTTTTTAGGCTTAGAACTGCCAAATGTTAGCTCTTCAATTGCAAATTTTCCTCCATTTTGGGAATTTGTTGTTGGAAGCAGTGTTGAATGTTTTTTAACACAGCTTTGGAAATCTCCTAACTTTGACGGCCGTGACATCGCTAATTTTGCATCTGACACCCGACAACAGTCACCTCGTTCAATCACATATGTTTTGATTTCTATTCAAGATCAGTGGGCATTTTTGTCATCAAAAGCGAGACAGATAAACAAGCTTTAAGATTATTCCACTAACTCCATGTGCCGAAAAAAGGACGAGAACCTGGTTCCACTACGCCGTGACATAAATGATTTATTGTGCATGCTGACTCCTTTCTATTGGGAACCTGCAGTACTACCTCACCAATGTTTTAAGAACATCAAAAAGAGTTGACCAATTATTTTCCAGTTACAGGGTTAGAGCATAACACCATCTATATGGATCCTTTACTAATGATAGGAAATTTCCTGTTTTCAGAGAAAGATTGAAGACATGTATGACAGAATGAGGAAAGAAGGCCTGGACCTGAACAGAGTCATTCAGAGCAAGAAAAACTTCCGCAATCCCAGGTCAGTTGTAGCCATTTTTTCTCTGGTACCAGGTCACAAAATGGGTGGTTTTTGGGTGTTTGCTTCAGTGAAAAGAATCTCATTTACACAATAATGGTTATTTAGTACAGGGAAAACGTAAGACAGATAAATAAAGATCAAGACAGACAGGAACAACAGAGGGGAAAAGAATAGATAAGAGGACCCACCAGTGCTCCCTCAGACCACCTGCTGGTTTTTAGATACTGTAACAGGTGATTAGATGTGGGTTTTAGTAGGCTTAGAGTCACAGTGTTCCTTGCATTTGGATACTAAGTTAGAGGTATGATGGGCTGTTGGGATAGTAAGTTAGAGGTATGATGGGCTATGGGGATAGTAAATTGGTGGTGTGATGGGGGTAATACGACAGGCTACAGTTTATCTCTCTTTCACCACTGGTGTGAGCTGTGTACACCAGAGGGAGAATGTAGCTAAAAAAGCCAGGTTGATAAGTCGAACCAAATTCAGAATACTTGGCAAGTTGCTGGAAGCCTTGCTTAAGGTTAAGTCATGGGTCTGTTTTTTGTGTGTTTTTTTTTTTTTTGTGTATCTTGAGCACTTTGTGTGTAAGTTGTTTGTTGTTGAGAGATGGCATTTGCCTCAACCTGTCCTGTTCAACTTGGCTGGTAAAGAGTGTAAAGTGTAAGCTGCAGCCTTGTTTTCATTTAAAATATTTAACACGGAAAATGTTAGAACTAGCTTGAGCAACTGGAATTTAATTTTTTACTTCCAGTGAGCATAAAAGAATGTGAACCCCAGGAGGCTGCTCAGTGCACAACAGGAAGTTGAACAAATGGGTGGCCATAGTTGATAAAGAATGTAAACAAAAGCAGGTGTTAATATGACTGCCTTTTAAAAAAAAAAAATTGGCAAACTGGCTGTTAGCGGTCATCTACGAAAAGAGATTATGGTGCAGATGGCCCTGGTTTGAGTCCATTTTGAGTTGCTCCTGAATTTGATCCGTTTTGGGAATTTTTAAAACTTTTTATCCCTTGACATTGTCTTTTCGAACAGGTGTTAAATTCGGAGGTCCAGCATCTGGCTTTATTTCATACAATTGCTGAGTGCAGGTTGAAATGGAAATTTGTGGGATTTGTCAGGACTCCTTATGGGTGTTCCTCTTTTTAACTCAATGGTTTGCTGTACTACTGTCCTCTCCTCAACATGAACAGAGTGGTTGATGGGTGCTCCTTTCTACATCTTTGACATTAGAATGTTATTTGTTCAGGTTTTTTGGGGGTTTGATTTAGTTTTTCCTGTTTTATTCTCACCAGCATCTACGAAAAGTTGATAGAGTTCTGTCACATAGATGAGAAAGGCACAAATTTCCCCCCGGTGAGTATGAGAGAGCTGTCTTTAGTTTGTCGTAAGTATGTGAGAAATATGTAGATAAAAGTTTGTATTAAGTATTTGAAAAGTTTGCAGTAATCACATGCTTGTTGGGAGAATGTCAATAGTTTTTAGTAAGTGAGAAATGCGTGGATAGTTTGTACTGCTTAACATATAAGGAATATGTGAGTAGTTTGTAGTAGTTTACATGTCTAGAATACATGGATAGTTTGTATTAGTTAGGTTAGTGAGAAATATGTGGATAGTTTGAGATAAATAGATGAAAAATATCTACATGCTTTAGTTTGTGGTAATTATATGAGAAATATGTGGGAGGGGGTTATCACCTATGGATGGGGACCTTAATTGTAGAGTACTTTAATGGATGGTCACTGAGTGCATTGGCCACCTTTTTACTATTCACCTGTCACCTGTCACCTCGGTGGTCTTCGTCCGTTGGTTCTCCACTCCATGCCCCAACAGGCCTCTATCTTCCCTGGTCTCTGCTTTGATGTATTATTTCATGAAGTTGTAGACTATTTAGTTTTTGTTAAAAGTTTGATACCAGAAGAGACCCCAATATATTGAATAACTAACATGTGTTCCAAAACTACGAAGTCTCATACTGACGTGATGCTGACTCTTAACAGTTTTAAAAAGAAATTGTTTCTTCTTTCTCCAGGAAATCTACGACCCACACTTATGGGGTAAAGAGTCTTTCTTCGATGAGTTAGGTGAGTACTCATCGTGATATATGACTACACTGGAACCTTCCTTAATGGAAACCTGTCTTAACGGAATCTCCCTGCTCCCCCCTTGATATATTCCTCTTTAATTACCTGTATAATACGGAAACCTGTCCAGCGCGGAAACGGAAAGAAAAATCCGCTCCCTTCCAAGGGTTTCACCTGTCTACGACGAAAAATGCTTTGCCCCGCTCAGCCCTGATTTGAAACAAAACTCGCAAGTTTGGTTCCCCCAGCTCTAAACTTAACGCTATTTCCATGCTGCTTGGCAAGGAAGGGGAGTAGGGGTGCAATTTGGGGGTAGATGTTACCCCATCATGTGAGCCCAGAGCGATGCAGATTTGTCAGTGTAGTGTGGGTGTGAAATCTCATCACTGCCCTTGAGAATGCTTGACTAGCGAGCTACTATGAAAACTTTCCTGGGTAACCAAAAGCCAGAGGTGTGAAACTAGATTGATCGCCGCCCTGATCGTACGGCCAGCCAAGAAAAGAGTTCCTCGAATCGTTGTTACAATGATGGCAGTGAGGGGTGGCATTGGTGGGTGGGGCTAAGGGTGGAAGCAAAGGAGATGTTTAAACGTCTCTGTTTCTTATAGGTCTGACAGTGGTCCTATGGAAGGCAAGCACTTGTGGTAATTGGATAACTAAGACTGATGCATGTCATTATCAGACAATATAGCAATTGAAAGAGGTGTGAAATTTTGACCACTGCTTGCTGATCGGGCATGCGATCCTTGATCTCACCGGCTGGGCCTTTGATATATACCCCAACCTCCATCTCCCCCTAAATTCCCCTGTCTAAGACATAATTTTTTTCTGGCTCCCTTGCGATTCCGTCTTGCACAGGTTTGACTGTACTTGGCAATTTGACTGTCAGTTCTGTTGGGCTATGTGGAGAAGACATGTCTCTGACAATTTAAAAGTCTGCATCTGGCCTTGATTAGGTCAAGTTCATAGAGAGACACTTTTTATTTGATGTGTTTATATATCTGCCCCCAAATTAAATTTTGTTTTATTCTTTCAGCTTTCATTATTTTGTTTCTCTTATACTTTAGTGTTCAACTGTTTTATTTTGTTACTCAAAGTTTCATTGCTTGAAAGTGTTTGGTAAAATACTTGTTACTTTTGAGAGTCCATTAGCTCAAACAATTGATTTAACCGAAAACCGAACACAGTGAGATCAGATGCACTCTGTGTATTTTATAATGGAGGAAACTGACGTTGGGTTCTGTGATGTAAAATAGAACACAAAGCTTTGTTTCCACATTGTCAAACAAACACACACACACGCACATGCACACATACCGCAACCCTGAACTCACTCGTTCTCTAGATCACACAGTCTCTCTCTGTCTCCCCCTTCTCACTCACTGCAAGATTTATTACTTTGGGAATGTAAGAACATGCACAGACCTTGTCGTGAAATATGAGGATGATCACAGCTTCTTTTTATCTGAATTACTGCTTTATATGCAAGTAAAGAATGCTAATATATGTGAGCGTGCCTGGTGGAAGGTACCAAAAGACGCATTTGTTTGAACTGAGATATCAGGCTTCAAAGTTCAAAAATAGAATTTTTGACAAAAACTAAGTTCCATTAAAAACGGATTATTTATCCATTATTATATAGATGTTTATAAGGACTTGAGTTTCTTTTATTTTAAAATACTTTTTTAAAGATGTTATTTAACACAATGTATATTGCATAATCCCCAAAAATGCGTGGCATTAGTGGTTTTCCGAGTAAACACTGCGGATGGTTTCCCTTGTCTTTTCATTAACGTCGACCCAATCACAATGCATACCAAAATTTAGTTCTTTCTCTCCCCTCTCTAATGGCGAGTAGTGCGCATGAATATCTAGAACGTGTAAACAAAGCGAAGCTTTGCGCATCCCCTCCCTTTCGGTTTTTTAGAGCAAACTTTTAATTGTATTGCCTATTTCTGCCCTGCGCAAATCCAGATCTAATTTCTTGAAAATTCTTGCTCAAGGTGGTGGTGAATTTGTTTTGAAGAGGTAATATAAACCCTTTGAAACTGTTCTTTTATCTTAGCTGCGTTTTAAAGTTGGTTTGTGAGTAGCGAATGTGTTGTCAGGTCGCCTCGAAGCATAGATCTGTCTTTTTGATGCAGAAACAAAAGGGAAACTTTAAAGCCGTTTTTCTCAAAACTTTGTTTCAGTACCCTGCTTTACAAAATCACCCATATGTCAAAAACTACTGAAGGTATCTTAAAAAATCAAAAAGCATATTGTTGAGAAATGATCTCTGTACATGAAAATGAAAAAAAAAAAGCGAGATTCTTCATTTGGTAGGCCTACCTTTCACCAGGCACACACACTTATGGTCAGTCACCACCTTCAGAATTTTCTTGTAACTTTGATTTTCTAAAATACTGCAGCAATTACATTGGATATTACTATATCGGAGTATTATCTTTAGCAGGTGTATTATCTTTAGCAGGTGTTTAGAGGTTGCCACTAGGCCAGGGCAAGATCGACTCTGGGATCGATTCTTTCGACTCCAAATGAGGACTCAAAGAATCGATCTTGTTCCATGTTCCCAGACTCTAAGCTTCGAGTCCGCCCAGGTTCGACGCCTCCCGTCTCCTTTTTTTTTAGCCTGGTTCCTAGCCTAGACT